ACAGTCAGTCTCTTGTCGACCTCAAGCATGCGGGCCATGCCCGGCTTCAGGTCCATGTCGCCGACCAGATTGCTCTGGAACGAGTACCTAGGTTTTGTGAAAAAAGTATATGAAAAAGATGCCTTGAAATGCTACCAGCTCGGAATAGGGGCGCCTTCGAGATACTTCTGGGGAGTTGGGTAGTCCTCTGGACTCACATCCTGTAATTTGACCTCCTTCTCCTCCTCAGCATTGGATATGTTAGCCGGCCCGAATAGGGAGCGAAGTAGATTCGTGACGGCCATCATTAATCCCAGCACTACTCCGAAATGTATCACCCCATGAACTATCTTGCGCCTAGGCATGACAGCTTTCAGTGATTTTAAAAAGCGCTCGCCCAGAACTTCATCCTCAAAGCCACGCATGGTCCGTTCACTTTAAACGCTCGGCCAAGAGCGAAATAAAGTCAATAATTTTTCGCAATCGAAGCTCCCTCAGTCGGGCCAACGAGAATCTGGTCACGAGATTGATCCTCCTTCAGCGTGTGCCTGCAGAAATGATTATATTGAGGCGTATCTTGGGGTGGCATAGCCGCCCCATTGGGACGTTAATTATATTGAGGCGTATCTTGGGGTGGCATAGCCGCCCCATTGGGACGTTAATTATATTGAGGCGTATCTTGGGGTGGCATAGCCGCCCCACTGGGACGTTAATTATATTGAGGCGTATCTTGGGGTGGCATAGCTGCCCCATCGGGAAGTTGATTATACTGAGGCGTATCTTGGGGTGGCATAGCGGCCCCATCGGCAAGTTGATTACACTGGGTCGTATCTTTGGGTGGCATGCATACCTTGAGGCATACGGTATATTCGCTCCGCCTGGAGAAATGGAGTATTGTATTGTAAGTGCGAACTACTCCGTTGAAAGGTGTCGACGCGGCCGAGTGCCCCACCTCGAGCGCCTTCATAATGATAGCCGTAGTCGTCAGGCTGCAGCACTATTGGCATATCTTCGCTGTGTGAAGAGGATCCACTCATTACACTACTCGAGTGAGTCTCACTCAGTGAGGCAAGGTGAGCAGTGCGCACTGTGTTTCCGGTGCCACTCTCTTGCAAATAGTGGTACATCCTCATGGATGCCAAATTTGCAGGGAAGGGTGAGCTTCCGTGTGACCAGGTAAGACGCAGTCTGATTGCCGTCAGGAACGTTTACCATTGGCGCCTCGTTTTAGAGCAGCGATAAACTCAGACATCCTAAATTGCGATGTCAGGAAATCGTGAGTTTAGTTCGCCAAAGTATCTCACGCCTACCTCACGTTAGCCATACCGAACAAAGCCGACTCAAGAGCAGCCTACTCGGTTGTGAAGGTCGTTGTTTCTCCGTGGAACAAGCGAGCTCCTTCCAATGACATAAAGCTCGTGTGCCGCTGTGTAAGTCGGACCTATGCGATATGAGAGTGGCAGCGGGACGGAAGTGCACAATCAATGTTGGCTCCTACTATGTAAGGCCAGATACGCATGCTGCGTCTCACGCGGTTGTTGGAAATTTCTGGATAAGACCTACTTCCAGCGAATTCCTCAGTCAGTCCTCTGCTACTTGAGTCCAGATCCTTTCTATCGCAGAGCTTCTACACAAGGCGGGGATGTGTCTCAAGCTCGGCAATGGAGCGACGGTGAGTCGCATCGTTCGAGCCAGCTCTGGTGAGTACATGATTGGAAACTCAAGATGGACCTACGTATCTCGGTGTGCTGTCACGTACTCTGAAGTCTTCCCATTTCAGAGTGTCTGATGCGTTATATCACTATTTCTGGTCGCGAAAATCAGGTGTACCCCGCTGTACTCACCTGGCGTTGTATCAGCGAAACGCGGAACGCGGCGTTTGTATCTCATCCTCGATTGCTTGGGAGTGTCATCACAGGTACAAGCGCAGTGGCTTGAATACTATAACGATGAGTCGATGACAGAGTTATTCAGTGGTTATCGACGCCGTATCGAGCTTCCATTGCTAGATCGAGTTTGGAGATTCTACTCGGATGGATAGTATGATGTGTTTGTAACATTTTATAGAGGTCTAGGCTCCATCCCCTCGTGGTTAACCAGCTTGTATGCATCGACAGTTTGGCCGAGTGGTCTAAGGCGCTGGCTTAAGGCGCCAGTCCGAAAGGGCGTGGGTTCGAACCCCACAGCTGTCATTTGGTGATCACCTCAAGTTACTAAGGTAGTTATTCTACTTGAAGAGGCGTAAACTAGCTTCTACGCGTGATATGGACCCAATGTAAAGAATCTATCATGTAGGACGGCGTTTAGGATATTCTTTGAGAGAACTTCAGGCGATACGTCCGGGTAGAACCTATCCCAGTATTGAAATTCTGCACAGATTCACCTCACTCGCAGAATGGGTGATATTTGACTCATATCCGGAAAACAGAAATCGTTGTGGTCTATGTCAGCTTGAACTCGTTCTTGGGCTGTTAGAACTGCGTATCTCGGCTGCTTCCATTTCGTAACTGGTTTCAGATTTCTCAGTTGGGAAGCCATGATTCTCGATTACGAACGCGCCGGTTTTTTCTCACGTGACTACCGAACTGAGAAGAAGTTTGGCTTCCAATTTCATGAGGACGCTACGTACTTTGAGGCATTCTCTCGTCGACAATAATGTGATTCACATTGGCAATACACCCATCGAGATGAGTTACCATCTGCAATAAACTGACTACATGCAGAGGGATGTTGCCTCTCTATTCCGCTGTGTCGCGTTCATCACCCCTTACTTTGGGCATAGTTTCGGACATCCAGAGGTTGAGTAGAGAGTCCGGAAGATGGGAAGCGCGCCCATCCTAATTTCTTTGGTTGCTTCAAGCAAATTTCTTGTGTGGGCTTATTAATCTGCCTTGAAACTTAGAAATGCCCGATCCCGGAATCGATCCTGCGGCCTCTCGAATGGAGGTTCGCTGCTCTACGGACTGAGCTGCGAAATTAGGAGTTCCTTTCTATGTTGAGTCGTTGAACTGTGCCGCCGAAACTACACGGTCTGCCCTCACCCAAAGAAGCTGATGCCTGGATCGGCATCGCCGGTACATATGTCGTCTATCGCAGCTGCCCATGGTGGATTGGAGGAACTCGCCCCGGCAGTCTAACCTTATCTATTCGAGTTGAAGTAATGTGACACCGATTGTGTGAGAATATAGAGATGCAAAGCTCTTTATGGGCACTAGAATCCGCGAAGGAATGCGGTCATTGAAATCGTTAAATGTAGTACGCTAGAGAGCGCGAATCGCCACCGTCTTATCCCACGCCGCTGTCGTATATGCCATCGAATGCCATGACGAACTTCAAGGAAGCGTAGGTCGTAGAATGGGCTATCAAGAAGAAGAGCTTGCTGCAGGCGGCATGCAAGGAAAGAACTAATAATGTACAGAGTGTATGAGTAACCGGCCGTGACAGAGGATCCTTGCACTTCCTACTGGTGCTCTCACGGAGCACCATATCTTTGTGGCAGAGATACCCTAGTAGTGCTCGAAGTGTGGTCTAGTGGAGAGTGTAGAGAAATCCTTACTATTTGTTCTTTACAGAGGAATAGCAAGAGTGCACGATTCTAGTCTTGCCGTTAGCTATTATCATAATCTTTTAGAGGCACTAGTCGTAGAAGTTCTAGAGGATGGGTCTGTTACTAATGTAGCGTTATGTTGTGTTGCTTTTTGTAACGTTAGAGGCTAGGTTACAAGGTATGTGACTCAATTCGGCAAGTGATAGCCCAACCCTGTACGTTCAGTCAAGGCTTGAATGCTCTATGTTCGTACACTCCACCAGTTGGTGTCATAGTCTGGTAATTTCATCGGTGTATCATTCAAGCAGTTGTCGTTGTATGCTCATTATGCATTGGTATCGTCGATTTGTGGGGTTCCATCAAATCTGCCTCATCTCTACTCCACAGTAGTTTACTGCCAGCGTGAATAGCCGTGTAGTTCAGCCTGGTCGTTGAACATTCCAGGGTCCTCTTTTAGGGCGACTTCTCGAGCTCCCATATCAAAGTGTACTGCTCCACTTCAGGTTCGAAAGCCCCCTACTGCTTCTCGTGAGGGCATGTGGCGATGGGGCTCACACCGGGGAGAAGTGCGCTCCTTGATGCACCCCAAGGAGCGAGAAAGAGCGGTTCTCGGGGAGACTCCACATGCGGTGTGAAGAGGTCGTCGAGACCCTTTCTTAATGGTTCGCATGCACACAAAGTTAGTTGAAGCTCTGGTGGCATGACGAAGAAGAAGCCACAGATAGCTTATGCTCTCACAGAATCGTAGGTAGGGCTCCCAGAGTTATGTGTCTCATTGGCGATGAGTTATTGTTGATGGGAAGTCGCAGGAACGAAGTGACTTCCCACTGAGGAGGGGTGGTAGTAGTACATTACTCCCTAGTAGGCAGGCAGCATATTTGAAGAAGGCTGTGTTGTGATTGGTGACCCTGGTCATGATGGAGTTTCCCGTGGTTTTGGTCATCATTGAAAACATCCGATGGGAGCTCGAGAACTCTGAAACTGTCTCGTTCTTCGTTGATTGAGGCATTGGAGGGGATGGCTACGCTGAAATATATACCTCCCGTTTCATGGTCATGTGTCGTCTCACTTCACAGTATTTAGTTATAGTGGATCTCACAATGCAGTGGTGGACTCTTTTCCTCTCTTAGTTGAATAAACCACAGACCTATGGTACCAGAACGAGTACCGATTACAGAAGTACCATCGGCAATACCGCCGGCCTCATCGTCGTCATCATCGACTCTGGAGGTGCCACTGACGACACTAGCAGGGAGTGAGAACATGCCGGGGAGGAGCGCTTTGACAGTGGTGATACTGGGAGGCTCTTGCTTGGGCTGTGATTACGTAGGGTAGGTCCCTGAGGATCTGCCAGCGATAAAATACCGTCACACGATGATACTGGTCTCTCGTGGTCTGTACAGTCGTAGAATAGCAGAGATGGTTTGTACGAGTCACGAGGCGATGGCAGTGTCTCATAGCAGAGAGAGTGAGGATGATGATGATAGTCCTAAGAATGAACATAGTGCTACTACTGAGGAGTCTAGTAACAACAGCTCTGTCGCTGCGACGGATGGTGGGAATGTCGCCGACTCTACTACGCCCACTACTGAAACATGTGCTTGCAGGAGGAGAAAGTCTAGGAGGGATAATAAGAAGTAAAAATCACGAGGAGTGTGTTTTCGCTGTATAGTCTGATATCAGATGCTACTGTGCATTGTCCCAGTCTGCTTCAGCGTACCCTCTGCAGCAACAGACGTCGTCTGTGGTGCCGAGCACAGGCCCATGGGCCCATAATGCTTCGGTCAGCTCTAGTGGTATTGCTAGTCCGAGCGTCGCGGGGCTGGCTCGATCGGGCACCAGTGAGAGCGCTATCAGTCTGCAGCCTAGAGGGACCGCTTCCTTGGACCTTCGGCGAGGCTTCTCGGGATCTATGGCGGTTATCAGTAGGATTGCCTTTGAATCGGTAATAACCAAGGAAGCAATAAGACGCCGTATGGAGCCTTCTCATCGCACGCTGTTTTGCATGCCTGAATTCCATGCGAGTGCTATTGTCTCGAGAGTGGTTGTCACTATTATTTGTTCACTAGTATCAACAGTCTCGGCGAAGAATTACCACATTTCTCCTACGACTTTGCGATGCCTACATGCTCTTCCTTAATCCGTCCCTGCTATCAGGTATCTCACAAATACTCAGCTACTATCCCCAGATTAACTAGTTTCTCGGCGGCTATCAATGCATGTCTCATATTCGTCTTAGCTGCAGACCTGCCTCCTTCCGGCCCAGGCCCATGGGCTCCCGACTCACCGCGCAGTGAGGGCCAAGCCCAGTCGTCGACACCCTCTTCAGCTGGGGTATCTTCTGACGTATCTGGAGTTGACCTTGGTGTCTGCCGAGTGAGTGCTGTAGAGGGCGTTGAGTGCGGCTGTTTTGGCTTCGGCTTTGGACATGGTCGCCACCACGATGGTGGGAATACCGAGGCAGTGCATGGTAGAAGCTCTAGCAATGAAGTTGAAGTCCGAGATGATGAACGCATCGTAGGTGTTCGGGTGTGGATTTGGTGTCATCTCGATCTGTTCTCAGGAGGACGATTTGAGAATGCTGGAACTTCGACTTCGGCAGTGGCAGCGGCAAAGGCAGCATTTAAATGAAGATTCGAAACCCCTATCTGTGCTACTGGTTATCAGTGACTTCGACAGGAAAATGCAACTTGACAAAGAGCAGCACATTTTCACCAAGCATGAGCGTCAGACGTTGAAGAACAACACACTTTAATGTTGTCATCAGTAGACTCCCTATGGGATAAGTGGGGCTCTAGAGGAGAGCGAGTGTTGGACGATAAGATATTCACATCATGGGATGGTGACAGGCTTCATAGTGTGGTGACAGATCTCTCCTGTAGGCTAGCGCATGCCTACATCTCATCTAATCCTTCTAATGCTGCCTAACGCATCGTTGTGACATTCTTATGTGGTTCGAAGGTTCGCAAAAACTCAATGATTTTATGTTTTTTCTCCCTGGCTGTGTCCTCCATCTTGTCGTTATACGTGTACCTGATACTGTCTGTTGCTGGTCACAGAGTGGTGCCGATCTACTCCTACTGGGTGGAGCTCTTCATCACTCGTTGACTACGTGGTGGTAGTATCAATGAGCTGATGATGATTTGATACTATTACCGTCCTACTACTACTACTTCCGTCCAAAGTACTGGGTACATTGCTTGTTCCTATGCTCGTTGTGGCATATAAGTCAAATTGTCATGTTGTTGTTGTTATGGTGTGTCTATGTAGAGGAAGTAGGGGTCGCTTTCTTGCCTGCTATAACTGTACCCTATCTTCGCGTCTTACGTTCTTCTCCCACCAAGTAGAGCGAGGTGAAACTGCCTCTTTCGACCACGGGCTCCTACAAGTTGCCGAGAGCGCGTTTTTGCTATCACGGGCCCCATCGGAGTTCTATTTTGTAATCAGCTATGCTTAGTCTCGTCACCCTGTTGGTTGATGGATCATCGCGAGAGTTTGTTCTCGGTGACGAAGATGGCTGGCTGTGCTTCCTCTCGAACTGACCATATACTTGGCGTAGAGCTTACTTTCATCATCATCATCGTTTCTGGTAGAGTTTCTGTTGTCGTTAATACTGTTGCTGGTTTTAGTACCGTTGTTGTTGTTCTTCATACTATTTCAGCTGCGTGTAACATTCTTTTATGTACTGCTATTTCTTCTTCTAAACTGCGCTCTACTGTATCTAGCCGCTTACGCTGACTTGGGCGTAACTCGGTTAAGATTTCATGTGTGTTCGCTCGAGCGACGGTTGTGTTGGTAACAGACGCCTCATAGTGGTGAATCGACTCTCTTAGATGAGTTAGTTTTGTCATACCACACCACCGATTCATCGTGGCGATAGTTGCATATTACGACCATCACGATGCGAGTGAACCGGCTTTCCTCTCTTTGAGGGAGTACAGTCACATCGTAAGTCGCCACAAACCACACCAGTCAGTCGATACTTGCAAGCCTAGGATGCCTTGCTATTCCTCAACGCGTTCACGTCCTATCACGTCTTGTCTCCTGACCATCTCGAAAGCTGTCTGCATAGTGGTAGCTTATGTCACTCAGCATATCGTTGATATTAGTGCTCCGCATCAGCTCTGCCTCGCCGTTGAATGACTGTAGGGACTCATTCAAGTAGCAGTTCGAACTTCATCAGCGCAAGATCCGACTACTTTACAAATGAGATTGATCGAATTGCATTGCTCACTGAAGATGTCTGTTATACAACATAGTGGTGTACCCTAATCGCCTTGTCATCATGCGGATTCCTTGCTCCTCTCACTTGATATCTGTGAGGATGACAACTACCAGAAGGATCCTCCATCGTGGAGGGCTGCTTGTACAATATCAGCAACAGAGTGAGAGCATCAGAGGCAACAAGGATGGTTAGGAAGAGTGCCATTTCATGCTTTCGAGGTTGTGTTCAAGCATTTCTGGTATAAACGTGTTGAAGGTTTCCGTTTGCACTGTCCAGTGAAAAGTCATTCCCCCCGATGGGCCTGAGCTCCATTCGCCTACATTCACTGGTTCAATATGTGGTGTTCGCTAACCTGTCGAGACTTTAGTTCACACGATGGCGTACACCTTGGTATTCGATCCTCCGGTCCCTGACCACCGGTTTGGTCGTCGTAATGCCAAGCTGTGTATGAGCCGGTTTGCCTTATTTTGGATGGTAGCTGATGTGATGGGCATGATGGAGGCTACGTCTTGTTCTGTCTGCATGCTAACTGACGAGAGCCATCACAAAGGCGAACTGCCAGTGATGGTCTCTGGTGAGGAGCTTGCTGATGTCCGATGTCAACCATCGGCTCGCTATGATGGGAAAGTATGAGCCCAACCCCTTCACTCCTGGGCACTGGGTGGGCACCTCGAATACGAATTACTACATGCACGACATGCATTCCTAATAGTCTTCACGAGCCTATTCCTTTATTGGACTGCTAGCCGCACATGTTGCTCCCATCGTTCTGTTGACTGTTTTGTTGTCCCTATGTAGGTAGGGTTATCAGCATTAGTGTTCCTCTGTAGAGTACGTCTTACTTCACTCTATGCTACATTCCAGAGTTTACTCTCACACGAGTCCAGTAACCCGCGCCCTGACCATGGCCGGCAGCAGCAGGATGTTGATGATGATGAAGCCTTATGGCGGTGGTGGTGGTCCTCTGGCTATGGCTAGAATGCAGAGCACTGTGAGCGAGAGTGCTCCTGCTGCTGCTGCTGCTGCCAGTGCCAAGGTCCCATTCAGCAGTGCAGCTGCTCAAGCCAAGGCCCACGATATGGCCTCTAACCCCGCGGGTAAGGAGCTCCTTAGTATTCTGGAATGGTTTCGGTCATTTGTAATTAACAGGTACTAAGCATTTCAAAAGGAAATCTCCAACGCCCGACGGAGCGGCCACTCCTACCGAAATGCCAGCCCATTCGGATCACTCCCTGCCTCACCCGATCTGGAATCTCGCGGAGATAGAGCGCGTCGAGCAGACACATTACCCTCCGAAGGGTTTCTCGGACAGAGCAGCCTACTACAGTGTGCAGGCTTTGAGGCAGAGTTTCGACATTCTGTCGGGGTATAAGTTCGGCCAGCATCACGCTGAGATGTGGGTACGCCGTGTGGTCTTCCTGGAGACGGTCGCTGCTGTGCCCGGTATGGTCGGTGGTATGGTTAGGCATCTCAATAGCCTTCGTAATATGGAAAGAGACCATGGTTGGATCCATACTCTGCTGGAGGAGGCTGAGAACGAGCGTATGCATTTGATGATCGCTCTGACGTTGAAGGAGCCTGGTCCGCTACTACGTGGTTTGGTGCTCGTCAGTCAGGGCATCTTCTTTTGGACCTATGGGCTTCTCTATTTATTGGCTCCTAAATTCAACCATAGATTCGTTGGCTATCTGGAGGAGGAAGCCGTCAAGACTTACACCAATCTCCTTAAGTGCATCGACGAAGGTACTCTTCCTATTTTACTGTCATTATTTGGCCTTTTCAGGCAAAGTCTCGGAGTTCGCTAGCGAGCCCGCGCCCTTTATCGCGAGGGACTACTACGAACTGGGCGAAAACGCTACGCTGAGAGATGTCTTTGCATGCATACGGGCTGACGAGTCGCATCACAGAGGTAAGCTTACATGGTCCAATTCTCCTGATTCATGTCGGGTTGTCTTCAGATGTTAACCATACGTTTGCTTCCGCAGACGAGAACGGCTGTAAGTACAAGAACCCCTTCCCTCCCGGTCACTAGGCGTATTTTGAGGCATCGATAAGCCTCCCATTCCTCCTGTAATTATCTGATGACTCGTGTCATATAATTTTCTGTTAAGCTCCAGCCTGTGTTCGTGCATGTTCCTGCCTTTTTATTGAGCAATGTCGAGCATGTCGTGAATACATGCGCTGTACATAGCCTTTTGAACCTTTTTTTGCATTCGTACAGATCGGCCGTCCATATGAGGCATACAGAGAGGCCCCTGGAAAAAAACTTCAGGGACCGACTCAAATCTGTCTGCTGTTGCTTACTACCATTATGGGAGTTGGCTCGGACAGCTTGTCCTGTGCGGCAAAAGCCAGGCTCAGTACTGTCGTATAGACAATGACCGTGGGTGCTCCTATCACTCATCAGCGTACACCCAACCACTGAACTCCCATATGTGTATTGGCTGTTTAATCAGTCACGGGAAGCACAGCTGCACTCATATTGGTGTTGTGTTGTCAAGTGAAGGAAAGTATCTTTGGGGCCTTTCGGGGATCATCCCCGGGAGATGCATCTGACCACTGTTAAGGAGACGGTGATCATAGCGATCCTTTAATACGTCAAGGAGCACCAACAGCAGTCCACAATGATGTAACTCATAGCCACTGTACCCACTGTTGAGTGGAGCCTGATAAAGCTGGAATTCTGATCAGTCATCATCGATTTCCTGGTTATCTGTTTATATGCGTGGAGGTACGATGCAGAAGCTGTCGTTGTGGCCCCTTTGTTGTTTGAAGTTTCTGGTAGTTATTGAAGTAACAGGAGCTTCCCATAATAATTGTATCTCTATCGGGCTATCGCAAGGTGTATGTTGCTATCGTATACAGACTACATATCACTTCCATGTGATATAATAGATTCGACTGAGCATGCAATAGTGATGTGCACAGCGAGAGGTGGATGACTCTTTGCGCAACCTCGAGATATGCTGTTGGATGCAACTTTCGTGATCTTCCTGTACGTGGCAGTACAACAGCGACGTGATTTTACTCATGTGGAGCCCGGAATGACAGAGTCGAGCGAGTATCAGGATTCCTCTTAAAAGTAGCAGCTCCTTGTTTCGATCAAGGGACCTTTGGGTTATGAGCCCAACACACTATCCACTGCGCCAAGCTGCTCACATATGTAATGTGAAAAATACACTACTCTGCTAACAGCATGTTGCGTTGCTACAAGTACATGTCAAGGCATATATTGATATCCGCCGGGTCGGCGGAGCCGACTAATATTGACTGGGGAGAGTTATTGACAGCAGCATGCACTAGTGATCCTAACACGAGTAGCTCGTAAACTCGTAAACTGACAGAGTGTACAGATTGATTAGCGACCAGACACTCAACATCGAATCAATCTCCTCTTGATAACTCTCCGATAACACTGTTATCGGAAAGTGTTATCACAGTGTTAAAACAGTGATGACGTCGAATGCCTGGATTCTTCAATGGTTGGCTCTCAATTAAAACTTCTCATGTACAGAATGATAGGAAATATCCAGTAGCATCTATGTTTTAATCATCAAAGGATCTTGTTAGCATTCACTCTTCGATGCTGCGTTCTCAATACAGTGTACTGATTTTCAGGGGAGAGGTCTCCTCTCAGAGGAGTTTACCTTCACCACAACTTCCGTCAATACAACACATCCCAGCTCACTGCAGGGAACTTTGAGAATCAAATTTGTATGTAAGAGCATAAGTGAACATTTCCATCAGAAATTCACAAAAGAACATCAGAACTACAAGTAACTTCGATTTCACCTGCTGCTGCTGCTCCCTCCCAAGTATTTGGGAAGAAGACTTCTTGTTGGACTTATCAGCATCAGTCCTGCTGCACCTATCCGTCTTTCTTATCCCCAGGGATTGAGCGACCTTATCAATATCCTGATCTGCAGCCAACATGCTGTTGACCAGTTGAAGAGCAGAGAGAGGACTGTTCATGTAGTCGAGATCTTCGAGTAGCTACCACCATCGACATCAATGCAGAGATCCAGTAGAGCCACGGAATTGAAAATCGTTCCCTTAGCCTCAGTAAATGCTGCCGCATCGGGAAGTGCCAGATCGTTAAGAAGGCAGAACTCGTCATCGTGATGACCGTCATGGGTCGGACCCATGACGGTCATCCTCATCCATATAGAATAGCCTATAGTCCCTCACTTAAAGTTCACGTCAGACCTTCTCGACATATTCACAGAGCTTGTCGTAGGTCTGGAGTTCCTCGGGATCAACCCTTATACGAAGTATCTCGGAATCGGTGTGTAGTTCGAGGCAAAGAACGCTAACTGTCAATGACATAATAAAGATAACTTAATCAAGCTTCTTCAAACTGAGACTATATAATACGCTCTGAGGAAATATCTCGCCGATAACGCTTTCCACATCATGGATAATGTCAACAAGCTTCACGACATCTTCCAGCGAGGTGATGAACACAAAACCAGAGTGTTCTATTTCCAAAACACAAGCACGCTCTATTACTAACACAAGCTGTACTACTAAACTAAACGCTCTAACACAAGCTCTATTACTGTTTCGCACCCGTGTCCCTCTGGATCGCTGCGCGTTATCTACTTAGCTCCTATGATTTTTGGAACCCCACAACTTCTCATATTCGAGTGTTCCCAACTGTTGACTAACACGAACTTTTGCAAAAGATACACGCTAGAAAAGTGACTAGATTGAAATGATAGGGACACATGTAGGACTTCTCCACCTGGGTCAAGACCCTCTACTCACCTCTTCTGTAGGCTCGAGTCGAGCCGCTCGACTAACACTGCTACTC